AAATTTTGAAATATACTCGAACGAAAAAAAAATTATCTACATCTATTTTATGGTGCCAAACAATATTAAATAGGATCAATGATATGAATAACATATTTCAACTAAACATTATACCGTAAATTGATAGAAGACCATGAATTCATCAATTTTTTTTAAAACTATCATTTAATTATTAATGAATGTAAAGAGTAAAACGTAACGGTGTCTTGAAATCAAAATTTATTATTATTTAATAATAATAAATTTTGATTTCAAGACACCTTAAGACCTTTCTTATATATACATGGGAAGATACGCCCAATACAAAAATAGTAGGTGTTTCTAGAAATATATATTCACGTGTTCCTGTAGCACATTATGACAAATACCAATCATCTACGTCTAATAGTCTTTTAAAATTATAAAAAAAATCTTTGACAGATATAGAGACACAGACACAGAGGTGACTCTAAAAGCGATCGAATTTTGCTAAATTAGGCACGGAACAGCATTTAATGATGTTCCTAAATTCAAGCTCACGCGAGCGAAGCCGCGGGTAAAAAGCTAGTTATAGATAAAATAACTTTAACTTCCATAAGTCTGCCGTTTTCTTAACATCAATAGTTTTAAAATATTTAACGATAACTTTTGGCAATACTCTAATAATAAATCTCTAGTATTTGAACAAGCTTTTACATTTTGTTTAAGCAATGATTTGGCAACAGTAGGAGAAGAATTTAATGATTTTGTTGTCAAAAAAGGAACATCAGTAAAATGTTTCTCAAAAGCCAGAACAACTTTTTAATCAGATCGAGTTATATTATTGTTAATATTCAATTGAAAATCAGAGTTGCGTGGTTTGACCTTGCCCGTTTCACCATTTATTAATTATTTCCGCATGTATATATATACATATACATTGGAACTATACTAAGTAGAGATTTGTTTTTCAGAGATGAATAAGTTTAGTTTCCAGAATAAACGTTGTTTATTTTAAACGTTCAGTAAAAAAATAATACGGATTCTGATTACATAAGTATATGTGTATGTATATATTTATTCTTTACAATCAAACTTATCTAACTAGTCCAAATTGGCCGTGTAGGGGTGACGTAAAAATATGTAATGATTTTGTTGTCAAAAAAGGAACATCAGTAAATTTTTTCTCAAAATTCAGAATAACTTCTTGATCAGATCCAGTTATATTATTGTTAATATTCAATTGAAAATCAGGGTTGCGCGGTTTGACCTTGCCCGTTTCACCATTTATTATTCTCCAGGTCATTTAAATTTTGTTGGATGCAGTTTTAATTTTGTTACTTAAATGTAAAGCCTGGAGCACACTTTTTTAAATATTTTAGAATATGTTTTTACATAATCTCTGAATAATAAATATAACACTACTATTATATGATCTTTCATTATAAAGCTCGTATAACCTTCGCCTACATTTATAAATTCCTACTGTCGCCCATTCATTAAATGATTTGCGATTGATAAAAGAGAACGTTTTAGAAGTAAATATTCTACTAAATTCACAACTTATAATTTTAAATTCTGTACTGTACAAATTATCAGCAATATTCTTAAATGAAAGTGATGGAAGTCTTTTTATTATATTACTTTTAAACCTCTCCAAGCGATGTTCATTTATTGGAAAAACACAACTTTCTTTATTTTTCTGTTTTTTGTGTATGTAAGGCAATGATACCAACTGTCCACGGTAATCTGACCTTAAATTTTGAATAATTGATTTATGCAAGGGCTTAATATCTGTAAAAATGTTATCTATACAGGTCTCACTATGCCCAGCAATACGTGTTAGTTCTAAGAATAAATTAACAAGATTATGCGATTTAAACAATGAGCTAAACTTAATACTAATAGAAGAAGTTTCAAGGAGATTGATGTTAAGGTCTCTTGTTCTGTTTACTAAGTTTGAGCAAAACTTCTTCCACAATCCTTTCAAAATAGTCATAAGTAGCACATGGGGGTCTGTAAACACTTACAACAATGAGGTGCTCGAGCTCGACACTAGCCATTTCTACAGTTCGCTCAACAGAGAGGCTCACAATATCCTTACGTTCTTTATATAATAATGATTTATCTGCTAATATTAAGGAGCCACTACGTAAAGTTTTTTTTCTCCATTGAAGGAACTAACCACCCGCTGATTTCTGAAATCAAACATGAAATTATAATCTTTTAGCCAATGTTCAGTAATACAAATGATATGTATGTTGTTACTATTTAAAAACAATTCAACTTCCATTTCTTTGCACATCATTGCCTATTTTGATGCACCAGGTGTAAACAATTTTTATTACTTATTTGTGGGCTGCATTCTAAATTAATTAAGCTCTTATTATTGCTAGAGATTGTCTCTATTGTCGCATTCACTAATTTAAATTAGTCGGAACTGATTTCAAATTAAATTTCAAATGATTATGATGCTCAATAAAAGCAGTATTGGTAACCAAAAACTTGGTTGAGTTAAAAAGTAAATAATAAAGTAGCACATTTGCTACCAGTCTTAATTATATTTGGATAGGTAATCTTTTGTCCAAAACTTTTTTATTAAATTATTTATGTCAATTAAATGAAATTTGTCATTATTATCATTACAATTATATGTGAAATTTAATATCAATAATTTGATTCCGCCGCAGTGATATTGTCTATACGTTAATGTTAATAAATAAATTTGCAATAAAAATATGAATTTCTCTGATTCAGAAGAGGAACAATTAGTTAACTTGGTTGGACTTTATATCCAGCCCTTTATGATAGTAGTCATACTAATTATCGTAATAATTTTATTAAAGACAATATATGGAAAAATATTATATCGAAGGAAATCAATAAAACAAGTAATTCCTCTTCCAAAAATATAAATAAAAGTTAGTGGCAGGCAACACTGCTGCGCAGCATCACAGTGGCAACACTGCTGCAGCAGAACTGCTACTTGCTGTCCAGATTGGAATCATACCTTTAAGCTTCACATCACCATCGGAGCACTTGTTTTTTGTTTTTTTTTTTTTATTGCACCCATAGCAAAGCCGGAAGTGGGGAAGGGAGGTGGTGAATTCTCATAGCATACCACACAGCCAACTGCGCGGTTATGTGGGACTCACTATGAAGTGCCTACCCACTAAATACCACCGGTGGGGCTGGCTTTGGCCTGTACGGCCTTTCTTCCAAATCGGAAGCGACCCCCTTTAGGGAAAGGGGGATGGGAGGAGCACTTGTTTCACCGTTTCCTCTTATATTTCACATGCGGAGACATTTTAGTACACAAAATCGCACCATTTTTATTTTTTACATGTCAAAATCCTTTTCAAACCATTATTTAAACAAGTAATAAAATTAAAAATTTTGTACAACCGACTTAAATATAAATTATTAAGGATAACTCAAAAATTACTGGTCAGACCTCGATCAAATTTATATGGGATCACGTGAGAAGCACCAACTTTCAAAGAATCATCAAAATCGGTATTAATATTTATCGTATATCTTATAACTTAATTGCGTTGCTAGCGATACGTCTGGCCAGCAACGCAAATTTCAACAGGTCGTTGCGGTGAAAATTTTAGAGCACCTAATTTTTAAACTTGGTACTTAATTAGCACCTAAAAAGCCCCTAATATGGACTTTTGTTGAAAGCAATTTTGATTCTATTTTGATTTTCAGGAAATCTGAATTTTGCATCTGCTATGTTCTGAATAACGACTTTATTTTTATTAGGGGCGCCTTGTTACTGCGTATACTTGCAGCACCTAATTAGCACCTAATTCCTTGCTATTAATATTTATCGTATATTTAATAACTTCATTGCGTTGCTAGCGAGACGTTTTGCTAGCAACGCAAATTTCAACATTTCGTTACGGTGAAAATTTTAGAGCACCTAATTTTTAAACTTGGCACCTAATTAGCACCTAAGGAGCCCCTAATTTGGGATTTTTCCAAATTCAAATTCCCGACTTTGCGTTGCTAGCGATACACAACTAAAATCGGTTCACCTAGAAAAAGGTTGTGGGGTAGCACCAGGGCCGGATTAACCTTTAGGCAGAGTAGGCAACTGCCTAGGGGCCCCGCATCAGGTAAAGACCCCGTGCAAATATAATGGAAAATGTTTCATACAGAGAAAATTTTATTGGAAAATTTGTAAACACAGTGACAATAGGTATTATTACGTTTTAGCGACACACACTGTCAGTTGATAAAATACTTCATACTTACAGAACAAAACCATCTAGAATGGAGTAGTAGAACTAATAATATGGATACGTTACATCCCTTTATGCTGGCTGCAAAGGGGCCCCGAGAATTCCATTGCCTAAGGGCCACGACTTGGTTAATCCGGCCCTGGGTAGCACACATAAAATAGTAGAACATACCTGCGCGTTTCGCGCTGGCATGCAAAAACATACAGTCGCATTGCGTACCTCCTCCTTTTAAAAGTCGGTTAACAATAATACAGGAGCAGCAATCCGCCGCCGCGCCGGTCATATTTGTGCCAAAACTCTTATTGACATATTACTGTCTTTGACCACAGAGTACCTTTATATTTATTTATTGGGATGAGCAAGTGAAAAAATTAATATAACGATATTTGTAAACAGTATCGATAATTATCGCGTGAGAAATAACGATATATCGACGACGGAAAAAAAACCGAAGCACATCAGTGCTTTTGTTACTCGATGTGTTATAAACTAAATATAATATTTTAAAATATATCGAAATTGATACGAATTCAATACTCTAAAATAAATATCGAATGTCGATATATCGCGGTTAAATATATCGACGATAAACATCGTTGGCTGCGTGAGAAAATATCGACATTTCGATTTATCGATATTTTTAGCACCCAAGCCCAAACCTATTTATTTATACTGAAAACTTTGAGACTGCTAAATTTGACTTGAAGAGTGGTGGAGGAACCGCAAATTAATTTAGAACACATTGTAGATCTTCGTTTTTTTTTTAAGAAATTATTTACTTCATTGTTAGTTATGTCATATCAACTTTATAGAAATACTACAATTGGAAATACATTGCAAGAAAGCCTTGATGAACTAATTCAAGTAAGATTTTCTTTGTGGATATAAAATCGAAAAATGTCTACACATTTTACTTTTTCACTTATTTACAAATATTTATTTGGATGTTTTATTTTAGTATGGGCAAATAACGCCGACATTAGCAGTAAAAGTGTTACTTCAATTTGATAAATCAATAAACCAAGCACTTTCGACCAGGGTCAAATCTAGGCTAACATTCAAAGCAGGAAAATTAAATACTTACAGGTAACCGATTTATTCTCAATATTAGACAATGTAATTTTCAAATAATAAATCATAATTATTTATATATAAAATTTTAGCTTTATTTATTTTATTTAAAGTAAGCAAGGCCACGAATCTGTGAATCCATGCACTATAATCATTGGGAAATCGGCCACCTTTTGGCTTAATGGTTTCATAAGAGACGGAATGTCAGAGTAACATTTTGAACAAGCCACATTTTACTGTCCACCAGATTCAGATCTGGACTGAACTAGCTTCAGTCTTCAGAGCTCTTATGAAGTCTGGAATATTGTTATCAAGCCACCATTGACTTGTTTGCCCTTTGTGATCAGGAGCAAAGTCTTAAAAGTTCACAATACATTTTGAGAAGTGTATCACAGAGACAAACTGCAATTTTTGATTATGGCAAATGGCCACCCATGCACTTCTTTTACTGTTCTTTTTATGGAAATGGCTGATAATAGCTGTATTCCATTTCAACCATTGCTGTTCTGCTTCCCAAATATTTTACAGTAATTCATACATTTTGGAGTGAACTATTCCTCTGCCGTATTTCTGAATCCCTGATGGCATCCAGTCCAGAAGTTTGTTATTCTTGGCCATTACATTCTCGAACTTTGTCAAAAGTTGGGGGTTGCACAACATTATCATTGTCTTTGTTGGTTCTGAAGAAAGTTTCATCAAATGGAGGTGCAGAGCAGTTGAAAAGTTGCTGGATGTAGTTGCATGATTGAGTCTTAATCTCTTTGCTAGTTTTAATCAAATTGCTATCTTTTTTCCATAATTTTACTTTCAAAAGCTTTTATTTCATTTGCTCCAACAATTTTTTTGACTTCCTGTACAATATTGTCGAAGTATAAGGATACATATCTGTCGGATCTGCCTTTAAAAATTGTTGTTGATTCGATATTTACATATCATTTTATTTTAGATCAGTAAAACAAATTTGAACATTGTGGACACTCTGGATGTAAAGACTAATCTAATAAAACCTCCCACTGCAAAATCTCAAAGAAAGTCAAAAAGAATCAGAAACACTTTATTCTCATACATACATGATATCATTAATGCATGCATAGTTATGTATGTAAATATATTATTTCTGTTCCCTACCCCTGAAACTTCAAATATTAGTGACATAATTTCAAGAACTCTGATTTGATCAGTTCTAAAACAAAATTAAAATTACCTTGATTATAAAGAATACAGATTCTTAAATTAGATTAAATCATAAGGAAAAATATGTTAATTTTTTTATTGAAATCTAAATCAGATTTAATTTAATATATTATTATGTGTATCATTTCAGATTCTGTGATAATGTTTGGACATTTATGTTGAACGATGTAGAGTTCAGGGAAGTCCAAGAAGTTGCCAAAGTAGATAAAGTGAAAATTGTAGCTTGTGATGGAAAAAGTAAGTGGTTTAGTAATCAAATTTTTATACGTTACTATGACTAGACTATGATTGCGAATAAGCATTTAATTTTTTTTTATAATGATTTCTTATATATACTTGAATATTACACATTAAATGAAACTAAGAACCATTTTGGTTGATGGAGCTTTTTTTTAAAATTTGGCTTAGTAATTGTAGTCGCGCGTGTGGCGCACTGGTGGTGGAGTAAGAGAATACATCACTAACTTTTTTCTGTGGGTGTAGTAAAAGGCGGTTATAGGAAATACCAGAAAATTTAATGGCTTCTGATAGGTGGCGGTACAACCATCTTGTTTACGCCAAAAGTAAAAATACCAAGACTGGTGAAGCAGTGTCAAAGGTGCCACATGTCTAGTGCTGCAGTCATCAATCCGTCTGCCAAACATGACTGTTAAGGCAAATCCTCCCTTAAACAGTAACAATCCTTGTCCAGTAGTAGACATTTAGAAGGAATAAGAAATGTAATACTAGATTCTTGACAACCGCATTGTCTCTTGTCTATGGTATCTATTACTACCCAGTTTTTATGCCAACATTTGTGTACAGTAAAATAAGTTTCTAAAAAGTTTCTGGTCTGGTTTAGTTGGTGATTGTAATGTATGATGTAATATTGAAGCCCAAAGACTTAATTAGATGCCAAAACTTTAAGATTAGTTTCTCTTTCTGGTACTGTTGCCCTAACAAATATCTTAATATTGTACTGTGTGATGTAATTTCAATAATTTGATTAGTGCTTTGTTATAATTTTAACAAGAAACAATTCACCTACGAATAATCCCATTGAATTTAAATTCTAAACATAATTCTGAATTGTAACATAGACCAAACAAGACGAAAAATACCCAACCTTACCATCGCAAAAATAATAACTTTCTTTAATCAGATGACATTGGTCAGATTTTCGTCAGGTTAAGTACTTAAGCTTTGTTCAGGCATTCAGTTGAATGCTGATGTTTAACTATGAACTTTTAAATCAGCAGACCTTTGTGTATACCATTAAGGATGACAAACAAATAAAAGGTCCACCTACAGTATTCTAGCGTTCCTATGAGCTACCACTCTCATGCGATGCAATGTACCATAAAGTGACTATCAATTTTTGTGTCAATAAAGATAGCGAATAAGCCTGCTATCGCTAACGGCAACGTTAAGCTCCTATTTTACGCTGTTATTCCGGATAAGCTTTTACCTTACTCAGTTAAGCCACACTATCTGCGCTGCTGGTACAATACGCTGCGACATAAACATAATGTCTAAGCCTACCTATGACTTTATCTCATAAGCATGAACTTCAGACACATTTATGTTAGAACGAGATTATAATATCTTTATGTTTGACACATTGTTGTACTGTCATATCACAATTGTAGTGCATAGCTGTACATGTAGACCAATGGGGCAAATTATTCGGATATAAATTTGCCCCATTGGTCTAAAAATCGGTCAGGCAGCAATATTTGAAATTTTAATGTCCGTTTCTTAAATTGATCTTTGTCCTATTCATTGTTCTTTTTGTTTCAGATGTTGATGATAGAAGGTAACCAATATCAGAATTAGCAATAACTATTTTTGTAAAAGTGCAAGTGATGTTCCAAATATTATTTTTGTGGATGTTAAAATTTTGTTTTAATGTTATTGGAAAAAATACATGTAACAATATGTACTAAATAAATAAATAATGTGTTAATCAACGGTTTATATTTTTAGTCCATGATCTGGATGATTTCTAGGTGCTATGCCAACATGAAATTAATTCTTTAATTTTGTTTAAAAGAGATGGTTTTCAGGTCTATAGTTGTGTGTATGATTTAATGTTACAGTCAAGTTTAGGCTTATAGATTGAAGTAAATAAACATTATTCTTTACATTCCCTTCAACTCTGTCTAATTACAAGAACATAAGTGCCTTAATGCAAATAAAATGGATATTGGTGTAAGATTTTTTTTAAATTATTATACATATATCTTAGGGCGTCTGCTGCGTTAAGGAGATACAAGCGTGCGCGTCTGTATATTCGAAATCGACGAACACAGCTACGTCGTGTGGGCTCTGTCACCTTTTGAACACTCACTCTACATTGTGAGTACTTACCGTACTCTTTCGCATACTCAATCGATTGATTAATCTAATGACCTTTTGTGTGGAGTCACTTTTATTTTTTTTTATCGCTTTATTTCATGTGTAAACCACTATAAGGATATTTTGAGCTCACATTTCGCTTTTTCTTTGTAATGCAGTCATCTATAACTGAATATATAATATCATTAAAAATGTAAGCTAATCTATTACTCTAGATGAATACAGTGTTAACAGTTTTGCTTTCTTAAAGTTCCATCGCACTGGTACTTGATATTTGTCATTGTGATGAGATGGTCCCTAAACACAATAAATCTAGGGTAGGGATGTCAGTTTATGATAAAACTGTTATAACACCCTTTACTAAAAAGAGACGGTTGGAAAAATTAGTTACACCGAAGCTTAACCGGTTCAGTGCGGGTGACACGCCAGGCGTGCCACCGATTACTTTTGTGTGTGGTGTATGTAACGCGAGTCGTGTCTTTTTAAAAATCGTTATAACTCGCTCAAATTGCCTTTTTGGAAAATTTATCCAGAACAAAATATTCATTATTTTGCGAGTAGTTCATGCATGCAGCTTCGTTTCTGGATATTTTTAAATGTGAAATTTTTAGGGGTTGACAATCTTTTTTTAACGTGTACATGGTACTATTTTTACTTTGTGGGTTTTCATGTTATGGAAAAATTGTCTAATAAGTAACAAATAATAGCACTGATTGCAATCGCTCACAAATTAAGTTGTAAACAAATTTCTGGAAAACAAGTCTCCTGTTAAAAAAAAAACAATGCGTTTGTGTTATTCTTTAATTTTGCTTAAAATGGTTGAACTGCCGTCTTATTACTATCATATGGCCGAATAGACCTACGAAGTACCATGAGCTCTTGTGATATGGTATAAGGTTTATTTTTGCTTGAAACAGTTCGAAACCAACCATTTTAAGGAAAATTAAACAATAATACAAACGGTTTGGTTTTTTTAACAGACTTGTTTTCCAGAAACTTGTTTACAACTTGAGTTTGTGTGCGATCGCAATGAGTGCTATTATTTTCCATTCCACAACAATTAAAAAAACCCACAACATAGTAAATCCAACTAATGTCAACCCCTAAAAATTTCAAATTCTCAAAATATCCAGATAATTCTTCCTAAAACGCAATTTGAGCGAGTTATAACGATTTTTAAAATGACACGACTCTCGTAACATACGCGCACAGAAAAATAATCGACGGCACGCATGGCGTGCCAACCGCACTGAATCGGTTAAACAAGGAAGCGGAGGCTAGTTTGTATAGGATTCACGTCCAGGGCGGTCTGAGCTTGCTTTCCTACAGATTGAGATCCCTGCTCGACTCAATGAAGGAAATATGCCTCAACTATGCACTTTTATTAAAAAGTACTAAATACTGGAACTACCCTCCAGAGAAGACTGGCTGAATGGACAGGTTATGTGTGAGGTCGGAAGCCTTATATGGTAAACCGATGGATCCAAAATGGGCCTTGACGTAGGCTTTGGAATTTATGAAGAATAGCCTAAATTCAAGCTTAGTATGAAATCGGGAAAATTCTTCCCCAAGCAGAAATTTCCGCCATACTTCGGTGTGCACAATTCAACCTGCATAATTACTATGTCAACCATATTATCTATATGAATTCTAATAGTGAAGCAGGCACTGCTAGCTCTGAGATCAAACTTAGTGACCTCGAAGCTAGTAGAGACTGCGTGAGCCGTCTAAACGCCCTGGGTTATTTTGGGACGGGTTTCGGTCCTGGGTCATGCGGGTGTTGTAGGCAGGGCATCCAATCTCAGTATACCGAGATCCTGTATCATTTTCTAGACCCGCAGGCAGCGGGATTATGTGTGCGGAATCCGCGGGATTTGCGGCAGTTTTCGGAGTATGAAGAGGATACATTGAAAATTAGAACAAACACTTAAACCGGTAAAGATCGCTGTCTTGGTACGTTTTCAGCAAGATTTAAGTCTTATTACAGCAGAAGCTACTTTAAAATTCATGATCAATAAATTGAAAGAAGTTAGTTCAACTTCGGCGTTGGCTGCTGAGTTGATTGTTTCATAACGACAACATATTTTACATAGGTGAACTAACTTGGCTGCTATATTTATTTATTTCTAAAGTCCTGGAAAGTACTACCAAGAAGCCTCGTTTAACGACGAAACATTCAGCTTCCCATTGAAAATTGTGCTACGGAAGGAAATAAACGAGTTTGTTTAGAAGATACATTTCATAAGCGTATCTTCTGACGATGTTGATGAGGATACATTCGAATTTCTATTGTTGGGCGGCGAATGATACAACACAAAATGATGACGACAAAAACCGTAAGTCCTGTGACTGCAAGAAGAATTAGAACCGCCTCTGGTTTCAGTTTCATACAACATGAGTTCTTTAGTTGATTCTGTAGTGTCCCGCGTCAATTCCGTTGAGACCATGATTAAAAAAGAAATGACTGTTTGTATTGGGAGATACGACTTCGGGCAAGTAGTAGGCAAGTTCAATCACAAGTGTGGAAGCCAAAAGAGCTCTCTGCTGCAAGCTATCTAGAGTCACACATTCTAAGCAGTCTGGCAGACGAAATGCAGAAGCAGAGCTTCTACTTCACGCTGATCTTCTGTGAGGTCGTGGCACCACCCCGGTTCGAGCCGGCCCATGCGTGCAGCAGCAAAGGCTGCCGCGTGGCTCTACTACTTATGATGATGATGAAGCATAACTGGCTGAAAAACCATACCTATCAGGCTCCTCCATCCTATCACCATGCATGTCGATTTATCAAGGAATGGACGAGTGTTGAGAGGATAAAACATATTTTTCAGTAAGTACATGGCAGAATTCATTCATACTTTAGGTATTGACGACTATCAGGAAATCAGAAAACTATGTATAAACTATAAATATTGTAATAATAGAAAAATAACGAAAGAGATTCTTAAGTTCGTCCAGGTAGTTGCTATCAAATATTTCTATGGTCCTCATACGCTTGACAAGTAACAGATTATAATGCGTGATCCCAGGGCCCCGTAAGGGCTACTAGCGCCTGTGTGCAAAAAAGGATTTTGGCGCCCTTCAAGGCATTTTGGATCATGTTTTTTTATTTATTTTTTTGAAGGTAGGTAGGTAGGTGCTTGAAATAAAGGAAAAAACTGAACTTTAGAAGTCCTATTTATTTGTAGACTAAAATATCAAAATGAAACAAACAGAATAAAATCATAACAAAATAAATTAAAGTAAATTCTTGGTCACACCCATTTTAAAGCATTTACTTAACTAATAGGGTACAGACACGTTGTTTATAAATACTAGAAAATAACCCAAACCTAAAAATCACATCTTTTTTAGGAACAAATAACAGAAATATTGCCTAATGTCTACATATACATATATAAGTACTACTTTCTACTAATACTTAATATGCTAAGCAGATACTTCTGATAAAAAATACCTAGGTAACTTCGTTATAAAATCAAAAATGATGGCTAGGTACCTACAATAGAAAAATACATAATAGCTATTGTAGCTAGTTGATATTTTCCGAGACTTTGCTACTGCAAATTCATTAATTACATCGCTAAAATTTATATCATCAAAAATTTCTTGTTCAATTGCTAATATCGCTAGCCCAGACAATCTTTCTTGACGCATTGTCGTCTTAAATAGTTTTTAATGATTTTTAACTTTGGAAAAGATCGCTCGCCAGAAGCTACAGATACAGGCAATGTCAGAAGAATTTTTAGTGAATTGCTTACGTTTGGAAAGGTGGAGATTAAATTGTTTTCAAATATAGGTATGTTGTAAAATACTTAAGGGGCAGTATCATCAGGTAATGAAAACAACTTTAACGGTTTAATTTCATTAAACAAATCATTGGAGTCCTTATTATCCTGATCTGTGATTCGTTCTTCAAGAACAGAACAATGTTTTAAAATATCGCTGTCACTTAATTTGAATATGTCGCTAAAAAATCCGAAAATATTATCATACTCATTTAATAAGTCAAATCGGTTTTTTAGAGAGCTTAATGTTTGATCTATAATTTTTAAGAAAAAACTAATTTTAAAGGCAGTTTTTGGATCATGAGGGGTCTCATCTCGGTGTTCATAGTCAAACAGTTTTGGTCTAAATTTCCTCCTGATCGTTGGTAACGGTAGGAAGTCTTCTTCAATTTCGAGAGAGAGTGTTACTTCTTTCGCTTGTACAAGAATTTCTTCAAACGATTGGTCAGATCTATATTGCTGGAAGTGATCAACTAAATTTTTAGGTAGGTTTGGCATACTTTAATATTAATTGTAGCACTTTGCATTTGTTTGCTGACAATATTTATGTGAAATAAAACGTCATGCCAAATAATAATTCCGCAAATAAATTGAAATTTTCGTACAGACGTTAAGAGGGAACTCGCTTTATATCTTGCATCATTGTGAAAGGAATTATCTTCAGCTACTTCTAGAAG